AAATCAGCAAAATTGTATGAAAGCTAAGTAGAATCCGTTGGATTTAAGCACAAAGGTCATCAATGTTACTTCTCATATAAATAGATTAGTGCTGTACTTCCCAATTGCAGTACATTACTTTTATTCCATTAATATTTTTGTTTTACATAAACAAATAGCAGCTGTTCTGTTTAAAAAAAACCTTGCCCTATATTGAAAAGGTCAGATGACTTCTTTTCAGACCTACAGTACTTGCTGCTTCCTTAGTAAGCTAAGTGGTCTGGTTTTTCCTAGCGGAACTGTTCCATGCTTGGCTATTGCTTTAATCTTCATTTATACTTCATAATTGTGTTTAACACCACCCACATTTCATGTTACCTAGCATTTGTTTTGCTCCATCTTTGCTCCAGGGGTTGCCATTCCTGGTTATTGCCTTGTGTCCCTTGCTTTACCAGTTATCACCTCTGATATTGGTGTATAACTTGCTTACAATGCTTCCCTTATGCCTGGCATGTCTGCACATTATAATAACTGTCCAGGCAACCAGTTCTCCTTTGCATTAAGCAGGTCAGTTTATTTTTTATCCGTTGGTTGCAATGCGATTTACATAATTTACTTTGTTTTTGGATGGCACTGGTCAATCCTGGTGCCTCATTCATTCTGCAAGTTGGGTGCAGAAGGCCTTTCACTCAGGTGTGTGGTGTTTGTCAAGTTTGCATTTCTGTATTTGCCGATCCACATCAAGCTCAAACCTCCTTGCAAGACTGTACTTGACTAAACAGGTTTTACCATCTGATTGCTATTGGTGTGGAGGTTGTGAATTCTTTACTTTTCCATGAAAAGGATTACGAGTAGTATTTGATTTTGACCACATGTACTAAATTCAAGCTGCCCTCAGATCCTCCTGTGTTAGCTAGCCTTTAGGACTGGCTTCTGTTTGTTTGGCTTCCAAACGTTTCCCTGTAGGGTCAAAATCTGAAACAACCTTGGCTCAAGGACCCATCGGCACTGGCAAGGGGTGTGCTGGTGAGGGCAGCCTATCTATTCCTGAGACATGATGGGGGGACAGGAAGACTGGGTCTTATCAAAGGTCGCCCCTCCCATTATTCCTGGGGATTTTTTTTCTTATTGTGGGTTACTATCTTGGTATTTTTTACTTTGGTGGGTAGGGAATTCGATGGGTTTATTCACCCTATAGATAAAAAAAGCATCTGTGTTCTGTCCTTCATTGTAGCTTGTTGAGCACAAAGCTATTGTCCCTTCCGGGAGTTATATAAGACCTTTTAAAGAAGTGCTCTAGACTAATATTTTCCGTTTTGTTTAGTACAGTACAGTATTTTGAAGGTATCGGTGAGATCAGTTCTGCCTGTTCTGGCTTATAGATGTGTTATTTCTCAAGCTCTTGTTGTAATCATTTCTTTCATAACTTTTCAGTCTTCCAGTGATGTGTTTTAATTATTTTTATCTTTCCTTATAACTCATTCCTCTTGGGAGGAGAGATGATTGGTCACTGCAGTCAGTGCCTGAGGAAGGGAAGGTGATTGGTCACCGATCCTTAACACATTAAACCCTCGTGGTCTCCTGTTGGTCACTTCTGTTGTACATACTAAGTATATGACCTTCATGATTTTCAGTGGGTAATTTAGTCTTTGCTTTCAGCTCAATATGTACACAAGTGAGCAAAGTTTTGCTTATACAGTACGTACTATTAAGTCTGGTCCCGTGATGTATTAATACATACTGGTACTAATTGTAGCCGATATCGGTATTGTTTTCTATCGTAGGACTAAAGTTGTTACTTTAGTCTGATATGCAATACTGTACATTAGTGGAGGTTTGTTTTCAGGCAATCGGAGAGATGCATTTTTTCTTGTAACTAATTTACATTGAAAATTAAAGGTATAGTACAAAAAATATACAGTATTGTGAAAAACTAATTCACTTTGTATCATTTATATGTACTTGATAATGCTGCTTCTGTAATTTTTTTTGTCTTAATGGAAGGCATCGTGGTTGGGCACATTACTTCCCCCCGTCCCATCCCAAATCCTTATCCTGCCTCCAACTATGTGCTATATAGTCATAATGGCTTGGCTCTTTCTCCTCACAGTTCCCTTCCTCTTCCTTCTTTCCTTTGTTACTTATTTCTCTCACTCCTTTCCTTTCTTCGCTACTTCTTTCCTTCCTTTGCTCCTTTCCTTCCTTCGCTCATTCTTTCCTTCGCTCCTTTGTTCCTTCTTTCCTTTGTTCCTTTTTTCCTTTGCTCCTTCTTTCCTTCCTGTGCCTCTTTCTTTCCTTCGCTCCTTTCCTTCCTTTGCTTTTTTACTTTGCTACTGCTTTCCATTACTCCTCCTTTCCTTCCTTCCTTCCTTCTTTGGTGTAAAACTTTCAAAATAACTAATCATTTCTCTCTAGTGACCTTCACCTCGTTCTACATAATCATCATTTTATGAGGAAAGAATGAAGGATTCACGAGTGGTTGGGGAGTATCAGGGTCCTCGTGGTCCTCGGACCTCTCTACCCCCAGACCTCGGGCTTGACGGCCTGGTAAATCCGGCTCTTTTACGTCATTGCATGTATTCTTGCTGGAGTCACAACCCGCTTGGTCAGGGTACCTTGAGTACTGCTACGGGGAGCCGGTCGGCCGAGTGGACAGCACGCTGTACTTGTGATCCTGTGGTCCCGGGTTCGATCCCAGGCGCCGGCGAGAAACAATGGACAGAGTTTCTTTCACCCTATGTTACCTAGCAGTAAAATAGGTAACTGGGTGTTAATCGGCTGTCAGGGGCTGCTTCCTGGGGGTAGAGGCATGGTCGAGGACCGGGCCGCGGGGACACTAGAGCACCGAAATCATCTCAAGATAGCCATTTCGTTCGTCGATCATTTGTAGACGATATCGGTATTATTACCTTCCAAAGGAGAGATTCTCCGAGTCTTGGAGTATTGATGTGTTCTTCCTCACAAAAGGAAGATCACTTTCACGGTTTTTTTTTCTCGCAAAACCGCGATGATTTGAGCTGATGGGTTCTTAGAATCTTCAGTTTTCCCAGATAATAAAACCGTGTGCGGCCTGCCAGCAATGGCGCCGGCACCCAGTTGCCATTCGGAGGTGTTCATCAAGTTTATTTATTTATTTATTTATTTATTTATTTATTTATTTATTTATGCATATACAAGAATGTACATAAGGAATGTGAGGATACAAATATGGTAATTACAGTCTTGTAAAGCCACTAGCACGCGCAGCGTTTCGGGCAGAAAGTTCTTTCAAACGTCAGTTATGTTCCCGTGTAGTGTGTTTAGCGAGGTTTGTTGACACGTCTTGGACCATAATGTTTATAAAAATTGTGTTTTAGAGTAACTAAGTATTTAGATTTGTTTATTTGTTTATTTTAGAGTAAGTTTAAAGTATTGGAGCCGTGTACTTCAATGCGGCAATTGTATACTTTCTTCCGTACCTCCTGGTCTCCTGTGGACTTGTTTCCGTGTATAGATTTGGAACCAAAGTGCTATATAGTGAAGTGAAGTGCTATATAGTCGTAATGGCTTGGCGTTTTCTGATAATTCCCTTTTCTTTACCCTGAGCTCTGAACAATGCAGGTTGAGAGATTTTGAACGGTCCCAATAATTTAGATGTTTTAATAGTGGATTCAAGAGTTTTTTTCTTCTCTACCACAGACGTGGCCACACATTTACAATGCTAACCAGGGCATATATACATTTTCTTCTGTCCTCCATGGACAGGATTAGAGAAGTGTTAAACATATAGTTCAAGGGTTTATTGAACACTCAACCACAGAAGGTGATTCGGTGCTTTTAAAATGCTAAACTAACCTACATACGTAAATACATAGATACACAAATTTACGTATGCCCTACATAAAGTGTTCGATGTGTCTTTTACATAGTGTCATTAATGTGCATTTACAAAGGTGAAATGTAATTCTGATCAGCTTCCATATATACTTTATACACACACACACACACACACACACACACACACACACACACACACACACACACGTACATATACATACATATATACACACATACATTCACATACATTTGTCTCTTTTACTCTGACAGGGTGAGATAGCTGATAGAAAAACTAGTGTGCAATTAAGCACTTAACCACTGAAGGTGATGAAGGTGCTTTTACAAGCTCGGGTTATAATAGTTACATCACATACATACACTGTATAATTGATACATTACATGATCAATCTAGGGGTACAAGTTCAATATATCATCCAGTGTTCCAGTACTCGTATAGTAGTTATAAAGTTCAGCTCGTTAAACAAGGGGAGATGCTTATTAATGTGTTGTGTAATGCGTGCATGTGACATTGGAACTACATTAGGAACACCAGTGTTGTGGGTTGTATAGTCCAAAGTGATGTACCTGCAGGTCTCAACGTGTTGGGAACACTTGCCGGGTTGTTGTAAGTGTGGCAGTGGTTGTGAGCGTGGTAGAGGGTGTAAAGTGTAACTTGTGTGTGGTGGAGGCATTGTGTACTTGTGGTAGCAGTGTGGGGGCGCGTACTGGGCGGCCTGCGGCGTCATACGCATCTCTCGCTAATTTTATCTCGGACACATGGCACCTCCCGCCTCTGTGGCTTATGGGTCACGCTCCCCTCGGGGCCCGGGATAACTCTCCCAGGGCGACCCCTCTGTGCTGTGCCTGGCCCTGCCAAGGGCGTAACCAGCAGCGGCTTCCTTTACCCACGCTCGCTCTGGCCTTCACAAATGTTAATGGTAACCCTCCCCATGTTATCCTTATCTATTTTGTAACGTGTGTTTTAAGTGCATTATTTTGTTTAATACAGTATTCATTTAAGGCTTTAACGTTTTTGGTGGGGGTTTGTTAGTGTGTGTTAGGTGAGGGCTGGTGTGGTAGGGGCGGGTGGGCCCGTGAGCGAGCGTGTGGACAGTGCCATTGATTGTCAGAGATGGGATGCTGAGGGGAGAGCAGTGTTGAGTAAAGTGTCGTAGGCTGTGGTAGTGACACATCGCCTCCCCCTGTCTTGTGTGACACGCCGTGTGTGTTGTGTGTGTGTGTCTCCCCCTCCCCCCCGCCCCATGTGTCCAGCGGCACACAATGGGTCTTCACCGCGTGTATAGACGCTAATAGCATTGGCCCTCTCGGCCTTACATATCATTGCTGTCTCCACTTGATAGCTGGCCTCCATGACTTACACGACCTGACCGCTAATTTGTTATTGTTTTCATCTGCTGCTGAGAGCGTCGTCGCCGCCGCCATGTTGGTCAGCTTGACTTGAGCTTAACGTGACCACCAGAGGTCATGCTAGGCTCACTGTTGTTGTTGTTGCACGTGTTCACCAGCACTTGATCACCATCTCTGTTCACTTGCACTCTTGCTTCACGCCCTGGGGTGCCCACGCACCCGCACGCCCACACCATGTTTGGCTTCGGTGGGCGATCACCAGGGCGGCTGGCTACTACGCCCCCGGGACCAGCACCGCCTACGCCTATAGGTCACCCCTTCTTCAGGTGAGCTTTGACCACTACAGGTCACTTTCAACGTAGACCTACACTCGTAAGTAACTTTTAGGAAAGTCCCCCCCCCTGCGGCCTTCATCGTCCCTGCGGCCTTCATCGTTCAAGTGATCCAACGAACTCTGGGTCACGTCTTCAGGTGAGTCTGGAGGTCCACGGCTATGTGGATCATTTCCACGAGTGGGTCCTGCGTCAAGCCAGGCCGTAGACACTGGGTCACATAATGTACTGTTATAGTTGTGCTTGCTGAGGGTTGAGCTTGTGTCCTTGATCCCGCCTTAGTGTTCACACCACGCATCATATTCATTTCAAGGGCTGCACGAGGCACCTGTGCTCGTGTACGCACCCGCACACTGGTGGTGTTAGTCCTAATACCACCAGTTAGTTTGCTAGTAATGTACAACGGGTAATGTTAGTCCTACAGTCTGTACTCAAGTGTCGTAGGTAAGGTGTTCAGTCTAGCACACAGTTGCTTGACTGGAATAATTACTATATTAGTAATGTACAGTGTGTGTGTTTACAATTTGTGCCTGCGGGATCGAGCTGTTAGCTCTTGGACCCCGCCTTGTGACTCATCGTCTGCCTTTCTAACCGTCGGTTTTTATAATGTACTGACCTACTTTTCCTCTATCACATCTACTACACATTTCTCTCCTACACATCCCCCAGAATGTGTAAGCCCGTAACAGCTGTCCTATCTAACTCCCAGGTATCTGTTTACCGCTAGGTGAACAAAAGCATCAGGTGAAAGAAACTGCCCATTAGTTTCTGCTTCGACTGGGAATCGAGCCCGGGCCTTTAGCATTACGACCCCAAAAGCTCTCTGTCCACTCAGCTGTGTGTGTGTGTGTGTGTGTGTGTGTGTGTGTGTACTCACCTAATTGTGCTTGCGGAGGTTGAGCTCTGGCTCTTTGGTCCCGCCTCTCAACCGTCAATCAACATGTGTACAGGTTCCTGAGCCTATTGGGCTCTATCATATCTACACTTGAAACTGTGTGTGTGTGTATATAGGATATGATGTTCTTTATAGCCTACAGATGTCATTATTAAGGTTCATCTGTTATTCTTGCAAAAAATACTCCATTCTTAACTTGAATGTCAGTTCATGCACATGCTTGTACTTAGTGGAATAGCGTTTTTGGATCGTATTATGTTTTTTTTTTAATTATTCAAGCGCCAATATGATTTAATTTCTTTACCTAACCATCTGTTCTCCAGTGTGTCGATCTGTCTTTAAGCGGGCGGCATGGAGGGGGGGGGAGGGTGTTGAGAGTGGGTGGGTGAGTTGGGGGGGAGGTGTCGGGAGTGGGTGGTGGCGGGGGGTGTGGGGTGGATGTGGGTGTCTGGACGGGTGGATCAGCTTTAAAGTGTCTAGTCCGTTTTGTCGCTGGCACGTTTGCTCTTGCTCTGGGTTTTGTGACTGTTTACCTGTATGTATTTGCATTTTAGCCTTGGTGTGTCCTTGTTTGTTGTGACTGTCTGTGTATTTCACTTGTGTGTTTCTCGTTAACCAGGTCGTTGTATTTGTGCTTGTATCAGTGCATAGAATATTTGTAAGTTTTTTTTTTTTTTTTTTTACCTGCAAGGACTACATGACATCAGTATTTATCGCACGTCATCGGTTCTTAAATTTCAGATGTGTGGATGGATGGATGCATCTATATCTATCTATCTATCTATCCACCAACCCACAGGTTGGTGGGTTGATGGATGGCTTCCATTCACCCCTGTGACGATCTCTGTCAGGAACCCGTAGGTGCGGGACCGGGACGTCCACCTCCTGGGGCTCGTGCGGCCCCCCAGGCTCTGCTTCAGGAGGCTGGGGTCGTTCTTGCCCTTGATGGGGTGGTTCTTCTCCGGCCCCGACCACGGCGGTCTCCGGGTCTGGAGTCCCTATGCCTTCTTTCACCAACTTCGAGGTCAACTCCGGAGCTTAAACCCGGGGGCGGTACTGTTTGGCTGTACCAGGGGACGGTACTGTTTGGCTGTACCAGGGGACGGTACTGTTTGGCTGTACCAGGGGACGGTACTGTTTGGCTGTACCAGGGGACGGTACTGTTTGGTTGTACCAGGGGACGGTACTGTTTGGCTGTACCAGGGGACGGTACTGTTTGGCTGTACCAGGGGACGGTACTGTTTGGCTGTACCAGGGACGGTACTGTTTGGCTGTACCAGGGGGCGGTACTGTTTGGCTGTACCAGGGACGGTACAGCGCGCATGTTCCTAACCAATAAATGTTCATTCGCAGCAAGTCTCATAAATGTTGTATTCGTGTGTATTAGGCGTATCCTCCTAGGGGTTGAGGGCATCAGGTGACCAACTTAGTTCCACTAGCCTTCAGTAGCGGCAACCTTGCATGGTAAGCTTCCCCCCCGCCCCCCTCGTGTTTTGTAGAGAGTGGGGTGCTCCAGTGGCATGGTTGTGTGTGTTTGTGTGTGGTTTGAGTGAGAGACTCGCTCAAACCACACTCCAGGTGCGACTCGTGGGCAAGGCGGTGGTTTTAACTGGCGATGGTGCCACACCCAGACCTGCCATTAGTCTGGTTCGAGTCTATAGTTTGGTAAGTTGGCTGGTTTTATGTCTTGATATATAGTATTGATTGTTTACTTTTGGGGCGGACATTTCTTTTAGTGCTTTGCTTCTGGAGTGTGCTTGAGGCTGTGTTGCTGGAGAGGTGGTATTGACCTGCAGGATGTTATACAAGTAATAATAATAATAATAATAATCTTTATTTAATTAAGGTACATACATAAAGAGATTTACAAAGTTTGTTGGCTTTATAGATAGAGCTAGTACATACAATGCCTAAAGCCACTATTACGCAAAGCGTTTCGGGCAGGTCTTGCCTGGTGACAGCTGTACAAGCTCTCACTTGCTCTCTGAAGTCGATCTCAGTCTTGCCTGGTGACAGTTCTAGAATATAACTTAAGGTCTTGTACCTATTAAACTATCACTGGGTATGGTCTGTCTCTAATAATAATTATTATTATTATTATTTTTATTATTATTATTTTGGGATTATGGTTGCATTTTCTCAGATTTCTAGATCTTCAGTGCGGAATGTTTTATTATAAGTTTCAGCGTGGGAGAAGGTAGCCCCCCACAGCCTACGTCAGCAGCTATGGTGATGTAATTACCTAAGTGTAGTTACAGGATGAGAGCTACGCTCGTGGTGTCCCGTCTTCCCAACACTCTTTGACGTATAACGCTTTGAAATTACTAACGGTTTTGGCCTCCACCACCTTCTCGCCTAACTTGTTCCAACCGTCTACCACTCTGTTTGCGAAAGTGAATTTTCTTATATTTCTTCGGCATCTGTGTTTAACTAGTTTAAATCTATGACCTCTTGTTCTTAAAGTGCCAGGTCTCGGGAAATCTTCCCTATCGATTTTATCAATTCATGTTACTATTTTGTATGTAGTGATCATATCACCTCTTTTTCTTCAATCTTCTAGTTTTGGCATATTTAATGCCTCTAACCTCTCCTCCTAGCTCTTGCCCTTCAGTTCTGGGAGCCACTTAGTAGTATGTCTTTGCACCTTTTCTAGTTTATTGATGTGCTTCTTAAGATATGGGCACCACACAACTGCTGCATATTCCAGCTTTGGCCTAACAAAAATCTTGAACAATTTCTTTAGTATATCGCCATCCATGTATTTAAAAGCAATTCTGAAGTTAGAAAGTGTAGCATAGGCTCCTCGCACGATATTCTTTGTGGTCCTCAGGTGATAATTTTCTAACTAGAACCACACACAGAGCTTTCTTAATCAGAATTCTTTAAAGATTTCTCACATAATTGATAGTTTGTTTGGGGTCTCTGTTCTCCTATTCCACATTCGAAAGATGGCACATTTCTCCAGTCCGATACATTACCTCTGATTACTGCCCTCATTTTTCTGTCAGAATTTTTTTTATCCATGTTAGAAGCCTACCTGTCACTCCTCCAATATGTTCCAGTTTCAAGAACAAACTCTTATGTGGAACTATCGAAAGCCTTTTTAGGTCCAGATAGATGCAGTCAACTTAAATTAACCATCTCTTTCCTGCAAAATCTCTGTGGCTCGATCATAGAAACCGAGTAAAGTCGTTACACAGGATCTTCCAGATCAAAAACCATACTGTCTGTCTGATATATCGTTTCTCTCCAGGTGTTCCACCCATTTAGTTTTAATTATATTTTCCCATATTTTGGCTATTACACTTGTCAATTATACAGGTCTATAATTGAGGGGATCTTCCCTGCCGCCACTTTTGTAGATTGGAACTATGTTAGCCTTTGTCCATACGTGTCCCAGGACTCCTGTACGCAGGGATGCCTGGAAAATCAGTTGAATGTGGTGTTGCGTTACTGGTGGTGTTGCGGGTAGTTCCTCCGTGTGGTGGTTGACTTGTTCCGTGACTGGTGTTTCTAGTGGTGCTTCGGGTCGCCTATCCTCTCCTACCCTCGCTCTCTGGCTTTGTGTTGTCAACCTCTTGTTGAGGTTCTCAAACCTAACTTTGTTGCTTTCTGTGAGGATAACCCCACCCCGTGTTTCACTGTGGAAATACTGAACACTCTTTCTCCCTGCTTTCCAAGAGAGAGTGAGTGAGTGAGAATAATGTGACGTTGTGGTTTCCAGCATGGAGGATAGAAGAAAATGTATATATGCTAGTTAGTAAATGTGTGGCCACGTTTGTGATAGAAAAAAAAGCTAGCGTGTCTACACTGGCAGAAGCCTCTCCGGGTATAGGTGTTGTCAGGTGAAGGTGATTGGGCATAAGGAAACTTCCTGGCCAACTTTATCATCCAGTAACACCAGCAGCCTCCCAGATGTTACTACTGCTCACCTTAGACTCGGCTACAAGTATCTCTGGGAATTTTCATTGTCCGCTGATGTAGACCTGACCAAATGTCAACTGTCATCATAGTGACGGAGTGGGTTACCTTCGCGTTACTTTAGGAGCCGGTCGGCCGAGCGGACAGCACACTGGACTTGTGATCCTGTGGTGCTGGG